ACTACCTATACTCGCGCCGCGCGCGCGTGGGCGCGAACGCGGGCGCTCCTGAATCATCTGGCGGCTCGGGCGATCGAGTAAGCGATTAATCGAACCGATCTTGATCACGCTTCTTATAGGCGTGGGTCGTCACTGACGCTATCGCGCCGTATCGCTTTTGCCCCGTGACGAGCGAATTCAAAGTAACGTTCGAGGCAAGAGAGACGGAACCCTCTCCGCGCGAGGCCAATACGAGAGTCGGCCCGATCGCTCGGAGCGATCTTATTAAATCCGAGCGATGGGATACAAATTTGCGTGTGCCGCGCGATCCGTTCGCTCTTTTTGTGGATAAAAAAAAATTTACAAATATCGCCAGCAATTTTACGACGATCGGATGCACGAGCTTGTGGCGTCCCGCGTATTAGCGAGGGAAAAAAAAAATACAAACGTATGTGTGTGTGCAGCTAGGCGACCGAGAGCGCGCGTTATCTGCATTCGTGTCGATCTCGTTCGCGCGATATAACAGTGACCGTATCCATGGATTTTTCATGAATATTCATGATACGCCGAACGGCGTTATATCGTGCAAAATCCTCCCGGTTATTATCTAGGAATCAGCCGGATCGGATAATATCGCGAGGAGCGAAGCGATATCTGTGGAATTTAACGATGCCGGCTGGCTAACCGGCTGGCGGGAAGCAAAGCAGAAAATGCAGTATTTTCTAGGCGGCTCTTATACCTGTCCCCGAATCTCATGGGGCAATTTGCGATTTCCCATTCTGCTCGGCCTCTCTCGGCTGACTTAATCGTGAGTTGAAACTTGATATGTTAGAATAGAATAGATTGCGAAGAAAATCGATATCGTTAGCATAATGTCATCGTTAATATACGGCAAGCTGTACGTGGGCATCGGTGGGTCCCCTCTGGGTACTTTTTGGTCCGATCGCGGCGCGGGCAAACCTGCCTTAACGGCACAAAGACGAATTCGCGTTTGGGAAAGAGAGCGGCGGCACATCGGACGAGGCTCCGTTTCCTAACGAGCGCCTTGGGAGAAGGACTCAAAAAAACTCTATACGTAGCGCAATAATAAAACTCGTCCTCCTTTTCTCTTCCTGTCCCGACAAGATGATGTTATGCTATTGCGACGCGCTGCCAAAAGTTTTCGACTCGCGCTGAACGCCGCGATCATCGTGCGAGCGATTTATGGAGCGCGATTATTGCGCGTGTGAAAACTGGCGGCCGGGGTTCATAAAAGTCGGGGAGGAGAGGGAGCCCCCACGACAGTGAATGGAAACGTTATCCTGGACGATCCGTGGAGCTCGACGTGGCTCTCGTGAAGCGAGAAAATCATATCCGTTGAAAATGCATAGCTGCCCGCTTGTAGCAACACTGATTTATGACACGCGTTGCTTGAATCGGTAGTCTTTTAATATATGACCTTATACGCGTTTCTTTTTCGCGCCTTGTATCTTCGAGAAGATTTAAACGGTATATCAAACGTTAGATTGTTCTCGACGACTTTATTGGATGATCTGCAGTCGGGCTGAGGTTCAACAACGATTCCAACGCGTCCCTCGAGCATTAAATTCTACAGAAAGTAAAGGGCCCTTCAATACTTACTACGGCTGCGTTTCACTTGGAGCTTGCAACGCTCTTGAAATCATTTCACTTTTGTTGTTTAGCAAATGTTAAACAAGGACAAGCGATACTTGCGAGCGTTGCGAGCGCCTGCACTAGTGGAACGCACCTTAGAATATTGGAAGTGCGTGGAAAGACACCTAAACAGCTGATCGCTCGTTCGTCAGCCGTGCTCGTCCGGACGCGTGTACGACAACCGATTTGCGACCGTAGATAAAATTGCAGGGACGACAGAAATATCGCCGAGATAACCGCGCGAGAGTTATGTTAGCGCGCGTCAGAACGAGGGGGACAAAGACGACACGGGCGAAGGTGTAACGGAAAAGAACGAAACGGAAGAGTCGCTTCACGGGGAAGGAGAGGTGGAGAAGCTAGCAAAAAGTCCCGTGAAATTCTGTAAAAACGGAGTCGCGACGGAGGGAAGCGAGCACGAGAAGGGTCGGACAGAGCGATAAATATCGCTCAGCATGGAAGTTTTTATTGCGTCGAGAGTGCGAAGTGTTCTTCTCCGTCTGCGCATTTCTCGCCGCTACCATACCGTCTTTATCTTCGATTCCCATCTTGCTCGTCGTCGTCGACGACGAGAGTGATTCCGACATGAAACGGCTGACTTTGACGCGGTCATTCCGTCGGTGAATATTTTGTTTAAAACTATTACAACCGTAGTTGATGATGATAGTCTGCCGCGCGTCTCTGGATAATTGGAGGAAATGGAATCGCGTTAGCGTGCTGCTGTCGTTATAAAAAGTACACAGATACATTGCATAACGCCGGCGGGATGAATATCAAGGTGTAATGAAATAGTCGAGGATTCGAAAGCGTAGCTCCGCACGTAGAGCTTGTTTACTTTTCATTGCGGCTGCGCCGCGATGCAGCGGATCCAATTACAGACAGGCCATCGTTGGCTCCGATTAATTACAGAGCCGCAGCTGCTCATCTCGCCGCTCGCTGTATTCGTAATATTGTGTTTCGCGCTTCTCTCTAAATTTAGACAGCGCCTTTTCGCAGACACCGCCGCCATTTGCAACGCGCGCGACACGCCAACGAGAGCGTTTCGTTTACACCTCATCGATTTTTACGCTACGAATAACCGATCTGCAGTTGTATTAAAAATTATAGAGTTTACAGTCCATATTATTCGCGCGTGTTTCGAGTTTGCTTGCGGAGGAAATGCGATTTTGGAAGTTCCTTTCCCAAACTTCGCGCTTGCGCGAAACGCGGAGCGTCTCGTAGCGCGAACGCGAGTCCGACGGGGTTCAAAATTAATGTCCATAATTCGAGGGACGGTCAGAAAGCCCCCGGGGGGAAGGGGAGAGGGGGGAGAGAAGACGAAGCGCGGTTTGGCAAAACATCATCTTGTAATCAGCGTATGCCGTGAAGGTAGTGGAGCGGGGCGTTGTTAGCAAGAAACCACTCGATATATCGATCGGCCACTTGGGCCAAGTAAGCAGGTTTGCATGCGTCGCATGCACGTTCTGGTATTCGCTGGCAACAATGTGCATCCGCAAATTTGCACGGATATTAAGAACGCTGCACTTTCCTGGCTGACGGCGAAGGATGGGGATCGGTTAATTAGTCGTCGTCGTCGTCGTCGTCGTCGTCGTCGTCGTCGTCGTCGTCGTCGTCTTCGTCTTCGTCGTCGTCGTCGTCGTCGTCGTGGTCGTCATTGTTGTCGTAAGATAATAACCGAGGCTAATTAATTTGATGCGTTATGAGCTCTCTGTACCGTCATTAATGACGACGAGGTGACCGTATCGTCGCAGGATGGCCGTAATTGCCCATTCATTTTTGTCCCACAAATATAACTCTAATTTTAGATATCGTAACGCCACGCCAGCTTTTTTGGCTGTTAATTATCCTCTCATTAAAGAGGTACGGCCGTTTTTACAGCGTCGTGCTTGTACACGGAGAGAATTTTTTTTTAAATTTACCCTGCAAATCATGTTAATTATGGGACAATATAGTATTTAGGCAAATTTTATTGTGCACTACAATAAGATTTCGCAGTAAAATTTTTTTGTAGTGCACAGTAAAATTTATCTAAATACTATATTGTCTCACAATTAACATGATTTTCAGGGTAAATTTTAAAAGGAAATTCTCTCCGTGTACCAGCGCACGAGAATTTCATATCTATCTCAATTTTAAACAAAAAAATGTTAGCTTTGATCTATAAAACTCGCGTTATGATTTTACGTTCTTCAACAATCCATATATCGAGAAACGGAAAGTGTGAATTGAGAACGAAGCCATGCGTTCCATTATTAGACAAAAAAAAAATAACCGGCGAAGTAACGTACGTATTCCATTATTTAAAAAAATTACCGGCGATACATCGTAAATCATTACGCTCGCTTGGCTTCCACATGCGACACGCGGTGTCTAATTCGAACTCGGGGGGAGGGGCGCAATTAGCGTCAGGCGAGCAGTGCCATTTCTCGATCCGACATTTACATAGCGCGCTTTCTTCTTGTCGATAAGCACGATAAAACGGACGGAGCGCGCGTACGTCGTCTAGCCGGGTAACGCGCGCATAACGCGATCTCTCGGCCGGCGCGGTATGCGGCATCACGCTGGCCGGACACGCTCCGTACGGTGGCCGTACAACGAAATTAAGATTGCTAATGAAGAATTAATTACGCGTGGGTAAGTTCAGCGCTTTATCGTGTATAAAGCGAATCGCGGTTAGCTTCAAACTCGATCGAAGAGTGATACACGAGACTCGTCTGCTCGTCCTGTAAGGACCGAGGGGGAAGAAGAGCCATAATACCCCAGGTTGTGCCGAGCGAGTGGGCCTCGCACTTAATTAAGACGTCTGCCGCAATTAGGTAGCCTTTACGATCGGCATAAAATCCGATCATTCCGAGCACGCACGCGAATCAGGTTCTTCGTCCTCGCGACGATCGTTCGCTACGACAGAGAGCGTCTATACACCACGTGGGCTACCATTTTCAGATAAAGCGATTCCCGATTCGGCTCTCGCACACGAGCGAGTCGCGAGACACCTGCTTGAACTCTTCATCGTACGGCGGAGTTCTTAAAAATATTTATGGCAGCTCCGGCAGCGGCAATGAAACTCGCTTTGATAGCCGGCGAGCGATCAATCCCTTAAATACAGGATACTTACTTTCGTTTGCTTTTACTTTAAGAGCAAAAAAAGTTCCGTCCGCATTGTGAAATATACTACTCGTCGGCGTCGTAACGTGTAATGATTTCGCCAATGATGTCAGGGTATGAACTTCGTGATGAGAATTTATTTATTTCATAAGATATCAAATGTATCAATCAACAATCCACATGTATATAGGCAATTATTTATTCGCATTTGCGTGTTGCCACTACGTTATCGCGTCTAACGTTCCACGTTTCGTTTGCTTTTTCAGCAAGGATGTCGAACAGCGGCGTGTCGAGCGGTCCTGTGAGCCAAGTCTGCCGGCCGCACTTCCACACCTCGGTTCTCCATCCATGGCTGTCCAGCAGCAGCGCGGACACCTCGAAGACACCCTGGGGATTCCCCACGACGACGACGACCACGAGCGGCACTGTGAACGACGAGAAGCCGCAGAGTCCCCTGGGATCCTCGCTGCCGACCACCACCGGAAGTCTGTCGAGTCACGGTGGCGGAGGCGGCCACCATCTCTTCTCCTTTCCGCCGACACCGCCCAAGGACGCTACGCCCGACAGCATAACCGCCAGCACGACCTCCAGCACGAACAACAACAATTCGACGAGCGCCAATAACAATAACAGCGGTAATCCTCTCTCCGGATTGGGCGGCGGTACCACCAGCGAGTACCAGGCGGCGGTCGCACACGCGGCGGTAATGGGCGCGTTCATGCACCATCAGGACGCGCTGGGCGCATCCGGCGCCAGCTCGTGCGACATCAAGCCGACGGTGATGCTCAGCCACCATCACGGGGCACCCTCGCCGCCGCATCAGCAACACAACGGCTCCAACAACGGCAGCAACGGTCCCGCCGGCACGAACGGCTCGTCGGCCGGCCAGGTGAAGCAGCGTGAAGGTAATAACCAATCTGGCAATGTGACGGGCAGCCAACAGGCGAGTGCCACGCAACAGCAGCAGCAACAGCAACAGGACGCGTATCAGAGCAACAACGGCGTGCCGGCCGGCGGTGGTGGCGGTGGTGGTGGCGGCGGCGGCGGCGGCGGTGGCGGCAGTGGCAGCGGCGGCGGCGGCGCGGCCTCGCCCTGTAGGGACAGTTACGCGGCCGCGGCCGCGGCCGTCGCGGCGGCGACCAACAGCCACCATGCCACTTCCGGCTCGCAGTACGACCCGGCTGCGAGCGCGTACAATATGTACCAGCACCTGCAGTATCCCACCACTGCCCACCATCACCATCATCATCATCACGGCGCCACCTCGTCGTCCACCGCCGCCTCGTCCCACAATCCGCACAACGGCAGTGCGGTCGCCGGTATTTTCGGTCACCACGCCGGCGGTGCCGGCGCGGGTAATGCAAGCGGCGGCCTAGCCGGCGGCCTACCCGGCGGCGCCGACTCCAAGTTGCTAGTCGGTCACGCGGCCGCGCACGGAAACACGCCGGGCTCGCCCTCCGCGCAGCAACAGCAGCAGCAAAAGCCGAGGAACAAGTCGAGGACGTCCGCCGGTAAGCGGCACGCGCCTATCACGGTTCTTTCTGTTTTTTCCTTTGGGTTTTCTTTTCTTTTCTTTTCAGTCACCTTTCTTTTCATTTCGAAATTTATTTTTATTTTTGAGTATTTGGTTTGTTCTTTTCTTACGTTCGCTTACATTTTCATACGGGAAAAGTGTTCTTATAGACAATCTTACAAGAATTTCTTTTAAACCCCTTACATCTTGAGAATGAAATAATTACATCTTAATAATTAAAATTTTTCTATTTAGAAGAAGATTAAAGTTTTTAAATTATTTTTTTGTTGCGTTGTTTCATAATTTAAAAATCTTTAAAAGCCTTAAAGCGCACTCTGAATACAACTGATAAATAATATTTTTCCCGTATAAAACGTTAATGACGAGATTTTTTTCTTGAATTATTTATCAGTTAGTTTGCATAATTGTTTGCTTCGGCATTTTTAGTTCCGCTTCTTTGCACCGGCGTCGATTGTTGAAAAACTAAAGATATATTGATACATAAATTTCAGTTAGCCTTTGTGCGATAAAATTTTATTTTATCTCAATTTTGTTTTCAATACATTTTTATATTGCATTTTCAAAAAATCTGACTTATAATATTTTATGCAATTTATATAAATTTATTATATAATTTATATATTTATGCTCAACGTAATCGACGCCAATGCGTTTTTTTTTGTTCCTGATTACTTCTCCTATTACACTTCTTATTAATTCTTAGTTTTATTTAACTTTAAAGATATTCTTCGTTTACTTTTTTATAAATTATTTTTATCTTGCTTGTTATTCTCCTTCGCTTGATATCCAGTCGATATTACCTTCTGAATATCGGCTGGACATGTAACGAGCGAGAGAAGCTACAGACGGGATATTTATCAATTTTATTTTATTATTCGATTTTATTTTATTTCCTCTTTTTTTTATATTTTAATTTTAACCGTGAGCTTTCGGTGGCGGTCGTCTTACGCTTAAAGTTCGTTCAAAACACGTTCTTTCCACCCGTTTCTCTCGTTTTTTTGGACGAAGCTGTGTCACAAATAGAAAGAAAGCGAAAGAGAGAGAGGGAGGCACTGATTGTGATTTTTTGTATTTTGCCTCACTGATGTGTTTTTTGCGTGGCACCCACTCGAGAGAGCGAGCGTGAAGCACCACACCCGATTTTACGAGATGAAACACGATATATATGTATCTATATATCCCTATTCATATAAATACGCATACTGACTTTCCTCCCCCTCACACAGACACACACGTACATACACACACATATATATCGTACACACTCACACGGACCCACATATATATGCGCAAAGACAAAAAATATATGCGAAGAAGCACAGGTTCTTTTTTCGATGTGGTGTGGCTAGCGCTGCATTTTTGTTTTTGTCACGGCAAAGCTCCCTCTCAAAGAGTCCACGGACCATTTTTCGATGGCGTATTTACCCTCGGTAAATAATTTTTTTCCTCGTCGCGCGAGCACACGCGGGGCTGGGTCGCATTCGTCGCGGATTCGCGCGGACAATTTTCACCCGTGTGTAAAGTACGATCGCACGTAACGCGTGACGAGAATGTACAAAGTAGTTCTCCGATCGATCGAGCTTTTTTTTTGAGAAATTGTGCGTTTCTCTCGGTAACGTCCGCAGCATTGTATTATCGTCGAAGTGGATGATGCCGCGGAGGAAGGAGGTAAGGAGAAGGGGGGGAACGAGAAACGGTTGAAAAATGCCGGATACGCTGATTGCGGTAATAATAGCTGGTTGCTCTCCAGCGTGGCGCGGCGGCGGCGGCGGCGGTGGCAGCGGCGGTGGCGACGGCGGCGGCGGCGGTGGCGTGGTAAAAATCCCAATTCCGGGAACAATGGCCCCCGGCTTCGCGCCATGGAAGCCCGCTAATTGAATCGACTTACGACACACACCGACTATACTAGCCGCGCGCGGAACCTCCCGGATGACGAAGAAGAAGCCAGACGGCGGCGGCGACGGCGGCGGTGGTGACGGCAGCACCCGCGGCACCGGCGGTTCATTTTAGCGACGCCTACCGCGATCGCCGAGAAAATCGCCCGTAAGAAGGCCACGAAAAAAATGGCTCCCGCAACGCGCGGAGCATCGGTCGAGGTGACGCTTGAGAGGTGTCGATTGAGCAATATGCCTCCTCGCGGGCGAGCGGAAAGCAGGCGGTAGACACGGGATTGGCAAATATCCTTCGCGCGTGCGATGGGAGGGAGGTGAGAATGAGGTGGAACGAGAAAACTTGATGGATACTAGAGATTTCTTCTCCGTATGAACGAGCGAAAACATGGAGCGACTTTGGTCCCTCAGAAGAGGGCAATTAATAATAAAATCATATAGTCAAGCGAAGGGAAAGTATAGTGAATGACACTGCATTGATAATAAATCGTGCGGGCACGGAATCGAAGGCAATGAATAATAACAATACATTAGATAACTTTTGTTGAAAATAAGTTGATACATTAATACGCGTTACGGGCACATTTTCAGTCAGTTTTAAATAACATATGAGTCATAGCAATGCCTTTTATAACATCGACAAATAAATTAGAAGCCATTCGCGTGTTCGCGCTTACAGTTGATGAATTAATGAGACCCCGACGACCAGAGTTATTATCAAGGAGCAGAAGCGTTGCGGAAAGTTCTGTTAGGTTCGAAAGGATCGCAAAATTACGGGCAATTAGCCGCGAGAAAGAGAAGAAGGACAATAGGTGGGAGAGAAAGAGATAACCGTGGGGCAGCGCAAAATTCGTGACGGAACGCCGCTTCTTTCGTATACTGAATCATAACTCGACCGTTGATGGCAGAAGTGGCATGGGACAAGCAGTCGCTTCCTTCCTCCACTTCGCCGATTTTCTTCGCGCGCCAACGACCACCGGGTGCTACCTAGGCTACTCCGGCCCTAAATAGCCCTCGCTCGTTTGTTTCCGTGTTAACAATAGGTGTCTGCCACCGGCAAACATTGTAGAATATTTACATGCAAATTTTTTCAATTTTCATCATCCCGAATTATTAAATATAAAAAAAGTACTGACATAATGACAAAAAATAAAGAACACTTGGCGTAATAAAAATAAAGAAAAATACAATTTTTTTTATTTCGGCGGGAACATTTGGATAGATAAAAATAAAAAATGATTCCAAATTTTGCAGCAAAATTTTGCCGTGGTACGGTATACCGTTTTTATCAAGCGTTTCGTGTTGTAATCCGGAAAGCTTCGAGAAAGTTGAAGCGGAAGCGGTGGTCTAACGAGCGCTTCGTTGCATGCCTGGCGTTAAGGTCGGAGGTGATGTCGAAAATGGGAGCGATACCAGTCCCTTTGGGGTGAAACCGGCCATTTTAGCGTCACCTTCTGACACGAGGACTATATTTCGAGTAACGACGCAAACGAGCGTCACCTCGACGTTTCGTGGCTGATACCCATCGCCTCTGCGTCGGTGTCAGAAACTGTCCGCCCGTTCTCGCCCCGCCGTTTACGAACCGGATCGATAGCCGGAGAAGCGTCGGTATACGAGGAAATACGCGCAGCCGGAAATTATTACTGGAGCGATATATAAATCCCGAGAAGCGGTGAGCATTCTATTATCGACGAAATCGATCGATAATAAATCGCTAATCGGAATAAAAAATTTATTCCGCAAAAAGGGTGAAACCGCCACTGGCGAATAAAGTAAAGATGTCGATTGAAAAGTAATACGGTAACCTGCAGAGAGAAGATCGGGATGTAATCGGCAATCACCGAGGCGTCGTCGAAATCAAATCGGAAAGCGGCGGAGGGGATCAAGATTGATCGGGTTTATGCCGCTCTGTTATTGTCTGGCATGTGAGAAGCCAGGGACTCGGAGGATAAGCAATCGGCGGTAGCCGTGGGCGCTCGTTATCACCCTCGAATCTGCGGGTCGGCAAGACCCGAAATCGAATTAAAACGCCGCGGAGGAGTGGACTCGGGCGGGTCCTTTCGAGATCGATCTGCGGCAGCGAGACGACAATTAGACGAGCGTTAAACATAGCGCCTTCTCCCAGGCCAGGATCTCGTCTGCCGATGCTCTACCGTCGCGCCTTCCTCCTCCTTCCCCCCCCTTTGATTTGCATCTCGCACGCGTGTAACGACAAGCCTGACGAAAAGACTGACGTTCGACTGCTCGGATTCATCTACACGGCGGACTACTCTCGTAAACGAGCCGCTCGCGTGTCGACAATTACATGCGACCTACGTTACGTGTGTGCCAGAATTATCCCGCCACCGTCAAATTTCGCGTTAAATTGAGGTCGAGTCATTAATCAGCGACGCGCGGTTCAATCGATATCGCGCCATCATCGGCACGACATCTTTTTGGAATTGATGCGATTCCCCCCTCCCTCCCCCCAATTGCGTTATAAAACAAAAAAATTATATCTCTCGCAGGATAAATTACACTACAGATTTTTAATACAATAATCAAAACGCACACTAGCGATAGAAATCAACGAACAGAATTGACCTAATCGCGTGGTAATACCGAGGGTGGTTTTTACGAGGTGCCGTTAAGATCGTTCGACAGCCACTGAACGGAGCCGTTTATTAGCCGTACCTCGAATCGCGCCCGATCGTACGATCGCGTAACAATCGACAATTTCGGTCTCTCGTGCGTCAACGAGGGACCCGACGACGCAATTTAATGGCAATCATTTTCAGTAGCGGCCGATAAATCTCGGCTATATCTCCGCGGAGGACGCAGCTCGGAGGACGATTCGTGAAACGCGCATTTCGGGAGAAGTGATCCTTATCTCTCCACGATTTCCCTTCTTTCTCCTCTCCTGCAATCCATATAGAGTCGCGCGTTGCGAAAGATCTGAATTTATTTTCTAATCCCCCTCCCACGGGAAGGGGAGCGCTCTATGCTTATTGTGGAGGATTAACGATTCGATCCCTTAAGAGACATTTAGAAAATAAATTTGGCAATCAGCTTCGAGCAATACCGTTTCCTCGTGTCGTCCGTGCCACAGACCAGGGGGAAACGAACGATCGCGCGATTTCCTTTCCTTCCTTCTCCCGTAACCGCTTCTTTCTCTCGCAGTGTCCTTGGGACTAACCGACCGCACTAACGTAAGTTTCGTATATCCGTGAATCCTGACAAACGCCCGTGGTCTTAAAGAGACTCTGCTTTTGCTCTGGTAATCGCTTGATATTGGTATGTCTGCAACTCTGCATGCGAATTCTTTCTCACGAGTCACCTGACTGTTCGCAAATCTCTCTGTAAACGCACGTTGATTCACCGAAGTCGAAACTAGATTTTATTACGTTAAACCAATGTCGTTTTAATACATTCATGTTATGTATATTTATTCCACATGTGTATAATTTGTGTAACTTGAAGGTGTTAACTGACGAGAGAAAATGCCGTTTCGCGAGATTATGAAAATGGTATAGACAAAATAAATGGAAAAGTGCAGACGCGGAAGTGGCATTTTCGCATTAAAAAAAAAAAATTCTTCAAAGTATATAACGATAAGCTTGTACGAGAGATTGAGAAAACGACGAGTGCCCCTTCGCGCGATCAACGTGCTTCCGTGTTCGCGTGGGAAACGTTAGAATCGAGTCCTCGGGCGAGAGACTCGCGAGCAGTTCCCACTTTTCTGACAAATTCGATCTCACGTTTCGCACGCGAACACGAGCGAGTAATACGCGCAAGTGCGCCGATATTAATATATACTTTTCGTTCCGTCGGGGTAGAGGGTCGCGAGTGCGTGAATTGCGGCGCCACGTCGACACCCCTTTGGAGACGAGACGGCACCGGGCACTACCTCTGCAACGCCTGTGGGCTTTACTACAAGATGAACGGTCAGAATCGACCCCTCATCAAGCCGAAACGCCGCCTGGTAAGTACCTAAGCTGCTTCAGTTTCTTAGACGAGCGAAACACGAACACACGACGGTATTATTATTATTTCCGTCAAGCTCGATGGCAAAAACGATTAATCAGACGATATAGAGATTAAATAGCAGGCAATTTTATTTTTTCCACATTCGAGATCGATTGCTTCTGATTAATAGGCAAACACTTGTATGTAAATTCACATGTAAATCCCGCTTTAGTATGGCTGTAAATTAAGTAGAAAATTATGTAAAATATTGAAAAATGGTATGGAAATGCATATAGTATTTTACGCGATAAAAACCCGATACACTTGTCGATACTTTGTATATTGATATCTCAATCAGCGAAAAAAATCCTACGTCTTCTGTCTCATTCGTAAAAGTGCGTCCTTGATCGCTTCCTTCGTGCAAGCGAGACACACATACTTAATTAGCACGTACATATAGCAAAGAGAACCAAGTTATGCGTTTCTCGCGGTGTGTAGATATAGTAATCAGAATGCAAGATAAAACAAGGCCAAGTTAATTTCCTGTACCCGCTGATTAATATACGCTCCGCTCCTCTCCGCCGTGATTAGCAGCGGCTCCGTATCGCGACGCGCCCCGCTGATGGCGGGTCGGGTGATTTTCGTGCACGTTGGATCGCCGTCTACTGTGTACCGGAGAACGCGCCTCGCAATAACCTTCGTTAACGAGGAACATCTAGAAACACCTTCACGTCGGAAGCGTCGAGACCCCGCGATCTAATCAATTTCAAACTGATCGTTTCGCGAAGCGACGCGACTGCCCGAATAAATTTCCCCGCGGGCGTGGTATTTTATCGTGAGACGGGCAATTTTTTTCCGCGCGACAAGTCGAGTCTCGGACACGCTGCGAAATAGGAATTCTTCAAATTCGAATTAAATAGCGCATTTCAAAAGTTATCGTAGACTTGCACACATTCCCGTATATAGAAATCTGTATGTAAATGTTATCTAAAAAATGAGTTTAATAAATTAGAAAAAAAAGAATACATTAATTTATATGTATTAATGACACACATATTAATCATTAAATATTATCTGTATTTAAAAAAATTAGAGAAACGATTTTCACGAGCACGTCTTCAATCGCGTTTAGAGGCAGCGGCGGAGTTCTCTATACATATCGGGTCGCCGCCAGTTTCGATCGATATCACGAACGGTAGCCGGAGGTTTCGTGCGATCGGCTCGTAGAATTCGTGTGAACTCGATCTATTTTTGGCGACTCCGGCTAGCACCTATGTAGATGGAGCAGCCTCGTCCGAAGTACCGATGCGGAAACTCGATACCACCGTGGTGGCTCCGCTTCCTCTTCCATCGTTCGGACTCTCCTCCCAACTGCGATTCGACCTGACTAAACACTCACGAAAATTCGCGGAATCGATCACGAAACGTCCGTTTTATGGTTTACACTTTCTCTCTAATCTGTCTCTCTAATCACGTATTCGAACTCTAACTCTCCTTCTTTTTTATTGCGCCGCGTGGTTGAACCGCTTGCCAATATTTTTCAGCGCGCGACGCGCAATTTTTTATCGCGGATTTTACAGTCGTAATTTTCAAATATTGATGCGAAAGACGAGAGATCCCTTTCGACGGGGACGTTCTTAGAATACTCGCGAAGGGTGTGCGTGTCAATGCCATTCGACTAAGCGATCCGAAAGGTATCGCAGCGATTAAGAACGCAATCTCCGTGAAATAAAAAAAGATTGTTAGGCCAATTAGATGGCCAGATGCACGCTCGCGGTGCACACTTTCACGAGTGTGTGTCAACCCTCCCCGTTTCTCGAGATCGCGAAGATTCCGCGCGCGGCTCCGCGGCGTTCCAAAGGCGAGAAGGCGGCGTCCTCTCATCGAGAGCTAGCGACGCGAGAGATGCAACGAGAGCGGAGACCAGCGCGCGGCGGCATAGCTCCTCCTGTGCAGAAGCGCGCACATTGACGTTTCACTATCCCTCTCGTTATCGCACTTTCTCCCTGCTGTGCGCGATAGAGCAAGGCTGATGGATTCAAAAGTTTTTCACCGGCCGCCGGCGTCGCCTCGGCGAAGTAATTATATGCCGGCCGCACTCGATGCGTTCGTTAATTGACGAAGTTTTACAAACAGCATCGCCGCACCTCGGTAACACCGTGTAATTTTCCGCGGCTATCTTTTTTTCTCTTTTTTTTTTGTTGCTGCTCGCTCAACGCATCGCGATCACTCTCTTTCGTGAAACGCGCAGAGAGCGTGCGCTGCGATTTCGCTCGATCGAATCGCGCGCGCGAATCTTAGACTCGTGATTTTTCGGAGTAGAGTCGCTTCGACGGATTCGGCACGTATAATTTCATCGCAAGTCTCTGATTGTGTATATATGCAATGTACATTTCCGCGGTTATTCAACTATCGAGATATGTAAGGAAGGAAAGGAAGGTCGAAATTTGTCGAGGAATCAATCATTAGAGTGCGTCAGAAAGAGGGAGAATGGGGCGTTCCACTTAGAGCCCAAGTTACACATCTTACCGCGTTGTGTATAATTCATTTGCTGTCACCGTTTAAACAAAGGCAATCGTTTCGCGAGTTCGCCATGACGACCCGTACAAATATTCCGACGCGATGATGAACCGACACGCCCACCCATCATTCATCCGCGTGACGCGCCGGTGTGCGTGCGTGACGTGCGCGCGTAAAAACGCGGCCGGTCGATAAAATATGTATCGATTTAAAGCAGTGGGCGTACGCACGTGCGTGCGACACTTTCGGCGTTTTCCGTAATTTTTCCCTGCCGCGAGAGAGAGAGAGAGAGAGAGAGAGAGAGAGAGAGAGAGAGAACTCCAAGACACCCCTTTTTCCCTCTAATTCACCGCGCACGCCGCTTATCCCTCTTTACTTCCGGATTAAAAATTCATGCGGCCACTATATTGTCATAGCCGAAATTCATCCCCCGATTGCCGGTTGTCCACGTGAAATGACGGCCGATCGTTCGCGATGATCGATTCCCAATCAGTGATGCCGCGCAAAGGGAAAACGTTACGAAAATGTGGCCCATTTATTATTCAACGATTAGTACCTAGATATGAAAGTACATATAGCGAGAGATTACGATAGCTTCATTTATTGCAGAACTGAATTGAAGACAGAATTAAACTTTCGTGTCGCAGGGGGAGGAAATCGAATTCTCGTATAAGAGAAATTAATTCTCTTTAAAGCGTACATAAAGCAAGATATTAAGCTTGTTTCCAAAAAATACGTCGGACCTATAGTCACTCACGTTTCAAGTATCAAAGTATCCCAGTTGGAAAAAAAAAAGAATAAGAGGGGGAAAGGCATATGCCTCCGTCGCAATATGTTTCATTTTTAGCGTGCAGCGTTCGGCCGGTTTGAATCCAGTCACAGATGTGTCGCCGAAAAACGGAACGCAGATACGATCTGGGAAACAAAAGGCGGCCACCAGGTATACGCGCACGCGGGTGTGCACGCGGCCCGCCACCCCGTATATAATAAAGTCGTGGCATATATTGCCCACCGCTCTCGTGTCTCCTCTTCCTCTTTTGTGCGTATTGAGCTACACGGAAATTCCGCACACGCATACGCACGCACGCACGCACGCACACGCGTGCGCCGTGAACTCCTGCGACGGCGAGGTTTCGATCAGGCAGATAGCAAGGGTTGCAACCCCCTCCCTCCCGTTGTGACCGACGTCCGCCATGTTTGATCCTTCAGGAAGATAAAACGCCGGCTCGAACAGCTGGGAAATTTTCGTTTTTTTTTTAACCTCTTTCTCTCCCCTTAACTCTCTCTCTCTCTCTCTCTTTTTCCATCCCGCCTCACCCGTTCTTTCTCGCTGTTCTTTCTCCGTTCGCGCTCTAAGGGTGGCTTACCTACCCATATCTTCGTGTACATGCGCGGGGTGGAACATTGCGCTCATGTCGACGATATGGCGTCGACCTGCCGTTCCGTGAGAGAACGCGCGGAATACGATAAAATAATTTAACGCGATTCTTAGCAGTAGATATTCGTTGAATCATTTAATATAATGCAATTAGAAGCATTACCAATTGATATATATGTAAATCTAATTAATATAATGATAAAATTTACGATACTCTTTTATCTACAATTAGATGTGTACCTTAATGAATTTAATATTTTCGCCATAACGCACATGATTATCATTTATAACTTCATAAGTGTAATACGTTATTAAATAAGTTTGGAAACGATAATTTTGAACATGAAATTTTTAATCAAACGATCCTCCTCTAGTAATTAAATAAAAATGGATGAATTTTTTCTCATGTGTTTCCGTTTTGAAAATATAAACATTTTCATAATTCATGTTATTTTCGGATTTCTATGATTCCGAGAATTATTTCCGTACACACACGTGAGAAAGTAATGCGGAAGTCGCGGATCCGCTACCGGAATCAATCCTCACACGGAGAGAGGTGATCTTTTTAGTCGAAGTCGCAAGCCGCGAGCTCTCATAGTCGCAGGAGAAAAGGAGGAAGGCGTAGCGCGAAGGAGAGAGAATAACTCTCTGCGCGCGGAGTCGCTCGTTAACGACTGTCCTACACGCTCCCCTGCTTCTCTTTTCTTCTCTCTCGTCCTGCGGCGATGCTTATCTGCGCCCATGCCCGGTCCGTGCCGAGCAACGCTCGTCGAATTACGGTCCTCCAGGCGTTCCTCGGCGGGCACATACCAGCAGAAACTGCGCTGCCATTGCTGTAGCAGAAACAGCAGCCACGGCGAGACCAGTTAAGCTCCCGGTTGCTAAGGACGATGCGGAAGAATTGGAGACTTTATTTGTAAGGAAAACGTTTTTAAAAATAGTCGAGAGAGACTGCACGATTAAATTTAAATGATCCTGACTTTGCCTCGCGAGGAACCTCGTTTTGCGTGAGGAGTTAGAGCTTCGAAAACTAATTTCAAATATCTTACATTTGAACGTCAGAGACGAAAAGACGTCAAGATATTTTCGAGGAAACATTTCAGTCAAGTTCAAGAAAT